GCCCTCGGGGAACTTGGTTTCCTGGGTGGCTAGCCTTCTTCGAACTCTCAATTTAAATTAATTCAATTCTCTGATAATGAATCCAAAGTTAATTCATTCATTCATTCAATTTTCTTTGCATGAATCGAAAGGTAATTCATTCATTCATTCGAAACTCCTTTTTATTAAGGGCTGCATAAATGTAGAAGAAGTACTGTATACAATTGACCAGATATGAAGAGGGCCGGGCGCCCTGTGGGAGTAGCGCTCATATGAGCTAGTCCTCTTTCTCAACGTAGATTCCTAGCTCATCAAACCCGATACGAGACACAAGTGCTGCAGAGCGAAACACCAAAATCGAGTGGAGTTTATTTTAGGAGGAAGACGAAGCTCCCTGACCCCTGACAATTGACAATGCTCACGGGATCACAAGCATCCATTCTCTAACAGCTCAGATGTGACTGACTGAAGAGCACATTCGGTATACGATTGACGGTCACCGCCTTGCAGACATGCCAGGACCACACGTGTTTAACGCTGTCTCTGTGGGGGAGAGCCTTAGGTCGCACCATGTGGCCGCTACGGCGGTTGTTGGAGGAGACGATGAAGAATTCATTACTGAGACCGAGTACGAGGAAGCGACATGGAATTGTCGCCACACCATCTAAGTTTTGGTCAATTCACCCGACTTCGAACAGGTCACGTAGAGATTCGGAAAGTCTAGCAATTCCTGGGGATGCCTCGGACCGATGCTATCCCGGCGCTCTCTTAAGTTCACGTGTAGTCGTCCAACAAGCTCCCCATTCACACTCACTACAGGCTGGATCGTGTAGTGTAAGGCTCTTCAGGCTTTTGGAGACGACTACGCTTGTTCGTTCGTTCTTGTGTGACAGCGTTATATTCGTATGCACTGATATCTGAATATCTGAATATCTGAAGATAAATGAATCCAGACTGGTCGGTGGTCAGAATTTCACCCGGATCATATCGATCTTTAACGTTGCTAACAAAATCGAGCAGAACCTGCCTCGCTTGGGCTTCGATTTCTTCACGTTCCCGTTGTTGACGGAAGCTCACGAATTCGACGTTCCTTCTGGAAGATATCCGATGGGCATTCTTGAAATCCGCGATACACGAGTGGCTGACATTGGACGTCGGCAGACTAACTTCTCTGGCTTTGGCGAGGGCCCACATGCGGATGGTACGATCGTGGACCATGATAGCATGAGCCCGAGCAGCGTCGAAGTTTTCCTTACAAAATTGCGCCACCTGAATGTACTTCTCTAGGTGCGTCCTACAGTTCCTCCGATACTCCCTGGATCGCGAGAGATAGCTTCGATGCCGAACCTGAGAAAATCGTTTAAGGATCGTTTCCTGTTTGAATCCAGGATGATTGTCCACGGAATCGAGCACTTTGCACACGTAATCGTCAGATCAAGGGAAGCGTGTTTATGGCTTCGGAGTCGACATCTCCGAAAATCCAAAAATCCAAAAATCCAAAAATCCAAAAATCCAAAAATCCAAAAATCCAAAAATCCAAAAATCCAAAAATCCAAAAATCCAAAAATCCAAAAATCCAAAAATCCAAAAATACCAAAAATCCAAAAATCCAAAAATCCAAAAATCCAAAAATCCGAAAATCCAAAAATCCAAAAATCCAAAAATCCAAAAGTCCAAAAATCCAAAAATCCAAAAATCCAAAAGTCCAAAAATCCAAAAATCCAAAAATCCAAAAATCCAAAAATTCATAAATCCAAAAACCTAGTATCTGAGACTCCAGAAATCCACAAATCCAAAAATCCAGGAATCCGAAAACGTGGAACCCGGAAATCCGGAAATCTAAAAACGTAGAATCCAAAAATCAGAAAACCTGAAATAAAAAATAAAAAAGTTTGACGGGATGTCCGGTAGACGATCCCGCCTGTGCCCTCGGGTTTGTAGTTTTCGAGCTCAGGAAAGTAGGTAGGATTTATGTGCATGTCATGTCCCGAATACAATATGAAGACAAGGATTAACCTCAGACTGATAGCTATACTGCTCCTCAGGGCTTTTCCGTCCTGACTCCCGGAACTAACCTGAGCATCGGGGGTTCTATATCGCTGGCGCGGCGAAGTATAGATGTAGCCAATGAGGCCCGTACTGGATTCCTCTTCCCGTCTGAAACTGGCTGACCTGAGAAAATTTCACAACAACGAGGCCTCCCAATACTCCGAGCGAAGCGAAACACATTTCGCCTCTTGGAGAGCCTACACGAGCTGAGGGAATGCCCACCTTGGAGGAGACGAAGTGCGTCTCAACGCACCGAGAATCTTCGCTGTATCACTGTTGACGGGGAAAGTAGTGAGCTTGGATAACTACTGCTCGCCATGAAACTTCTCAACGACGCTGGTAGTTCATACAAGTGCATATTGATAATAGAAGACTCAGTCAGTACTTGGATGAGAGTAACAGTAATAGGCTAGCTTTCAGAGAGATGAGGCACGCCAGATCACGTCGGAGACTGCTCTTGACAGCCGGCATTTATTCGAGATCGTTGTTGGAAAGCGCTCCCCCTGGGCGCGCCATTATTTAAATCGGTTACAGTAAGTTTACCCGCATTTCGTTCGAGTGGAAATCTCGCACCGCCATGTGTCAGAAAATTGACGACTGCCATCAAGAGATTCCGGGTTAAAGCCCTGAGTCCATGGTCAAGACGCTATCGTCATTTGATTCTGGAATCGTGGGAGTATCAAATATTGAGTTCATGTATGCATGCAACGCTGCACCTAAATTCGTCAGGATCCATAGAGCTAGATCTGTAGTGAATAATATCGATAATGGAACAAAATGCCTGATTCTAATAGTAGGGCACCCCAAACTCCGACTTGGATGCACCGGCGAATCGTCTCTGAGAGAGGTAGCGCAACCACTCAGCTCGCATTCCGAAGCTCCGTTATCTGGCGCAGGGATGACCGACGGATTGTTGCGCGAGCTCACTCCGGGCAGATTTTTCGGGGCATCAGAGTTAGAGCCGGGGTGCCCCACTATTAGAGAGAATACGGTACATGAACTAAGAGAAGCGATTGATGAAGAGTTTCGATCGAGTTGCTCGTTCAGCTGTTCATCCATGAGTATATCCTGGCCGCCGCGAAACTCGTCATCGCTTCCGATGTACCTAATTCCATTCTGAGCTCTTTCTACGCAAGAGGGTGGTCTCGCACGGATCCCGTAGACTCAGCGGTGACCACAAATCCAGATGATCCTCCTTCGAATTCTACGATAGTCCGCGTGAGCTCCATTCCTAACTAGATTTTCGCGGTCATGCTCTCCGATAAGCCATGGCCTCGAATGCCCGAAGCCCGGCTATGAAGGGGAGATCATGACTGATGCTCATTCATTTCGTGTACGGTCTGAGGATCACGTCAGAGACGACACGAGAGAACTGTATGCTTACAGTTCGTACGAGCGTCTTTGGGTGCCGCCGATTGAGACAAGAGCTCCTTGTCAGCCTCGAAAATGTTGTAGGTGATCACTGACCGTTTTCACTCGAAGTCTTGTTAATGTGCACATAGAACGCGGCCTAAAGCAGGCTGTATCAAAAGCTTAGCTATTGTAGAGTCATCGATGCTCCGAACTCGATCGCATGTGAGCTCGGAAATCTGATCAATTCCATCTCAGATCTTAATCGCTTGTCGAGATGAGTCTCTGTCCCTTCTATCTTGGGAGCGGCTTGTGGAGGAATTCTTTTTTTGTTTTTTTCGTTTTTTCCTTTCAAGGAAGGGCTCGGTCGAGGCCCGGAAGAAAAAGTGCCGCAACGGGAGTATCAACGACATAGGGGTTGACCGTTCAAGGCGAGGCAGCGGTCAGGAGATATGATGCTTTGCGAGGCTTCCGAATCGTATCAGCCCTCTCAGGCAGAATCACGTTTCATGATACCGAACTGTGTTCCGTTCTGTGCGTTGCGGTCTGACTGTAAGTGTTCCATTCCGAGGCCATGATCTAGATTCTGCCGAAGGAAGCGGATCGAGAAAGAGTTGAGCACTGACCTCATCGACACCCACAGGGGGAAGGAGCACTCATTTCTCGGGAATGTTGAACAACGGTTATGCTATCTGTTAGAGCTTTCGAATATTTTATTCTCGCTCCTAATGTGAATCGATGATGAGACTCTATACGACGCCACGACAGAGTTAGACTTCCCAACCCCATGGATCTCCGGGACACCGATGAATGAAACGCCGAAGAACACTGTGCACAGTCCCTGGTTTATATGCAAAATCTCGAACGTCGTCGGATCAAAGCCCTCCGGGTATTCTTGTGCTTTCCAACTCTCCATTCTGTCTTATCTAGGGTTCTCGGCCTTGATTAGGTGGGATGAGGAGCCGCAGATTCCGGGAAATCGGAAATAACTCACGGAGCCGCAGATTCCGGGAAATCGGAGATAACTCACGGAGCCGAAACTCAACGCGACCGTTTGGAACACATGGGATTCCTCCAGGCAGAATGTTGCAGGAGCAGCCATTGTCAACAGACTTCACGGAGCGGCGGTCGAATGCCCCCGAGGAATGTTTCAATCTGTAAGTATTATGCTGAAACCTATTTTCGTGGCATTGTGAGGAGGCTTCCGGCTTTTTAACGATTCAACGCTTGAACATGAGCGGAAGCACTACTTCATCATCCAGGAGTCATGGAGGTCCATTTTGAGCCCGTCTTCGCTACTGCGGAGAGATGCCGTAAGCTGGACGCTTTTTTGGAACGGGCGAGAGAGTTGGATGTTCTCAATGGCCGTTCGTAATTTATCGAGCTTCACGAAGACAAGAGTGAATCTTCTAGTGATGTTCTTACCCAATGGCGACTCTGCTGGACCTGCCGCGGCTGCTCGCGGTATCCGAGACGGACGATGGACCGGCTGTCTTCCGCGGGGCGATTAATCGCCTTTGCTCGCCAATTCTCAGAGACCACTCCAGTAATTTTTGGGATGATAACTGCAGACTTCAAAGCTCAACTCCCCTGAAGCGGAACTCAGTACTACCGGGGTACGATCTCGCAATACATAAATTTATTTTAGCTTTTTTCTCTTACACATTTCCGGACGCTCGCTCGGAAGCATCTCTCCCCTCACCGGGGACTTGATTGAAACCTAAACGTCCCGGGCTCGTATCGAGTGTGGTACATTACTACACTGTTCATCTTTTTCTTGTTGGCACTTCTTCGTTCACACCCATAGTCTGTCGGCCTCGACGGCCCCCGCAGAAGTTCCCTGCATAACGCGTGCAACACACGGAAGAATGACTGAAAATGAAGATGGAGGCCCTACTGACGAAGCGTAGGACCATTCAGATGAGCTTTTCTATCCACCAGGCACGATGAGGCTGGGCCTAGCAAACGATTCTATCGCAATCGTCGTTGATTGTCCTCATTGATCGTCCTTCGCCTTGTTCTTGGCCTTCTGCTGCTGTTTCTTCAAGAGCTTGACTTCGGCGTCGTCTCCGTAGTAGTTCTCACTGCAAAGCACAAAGCTTAGTAAAAGTGCGAGCAGCGGGTCAGGTGCTGGACACGTCTTAGACACAACGAGGAGACACTGAAGGGATATCACCGCCACCTGACCGAGTCTCATGCTCATGCTCCAGTCGCGTTCAATTAAAACCAAGATTGATACCGAATCGTGAAACGGAAATCATTCATAAAATGCAACCGAATGCAGGAGTCTTGCATAACCAGCTTCAGAAAAGGCACAAGACGAGATTAATAGTTCATCGCGATTATTTGTTGCGCAGTGTTTCAACGGGAGAGGAAACATTGCAACTTTGCATGTTCCGTGGCAACGCATGCAGGCGTTTTTTTCAGATCCGTGAAGTTTCGTCTAGCTCCTTGCGTAGGTACGATTATTATGATTGCGTCAGTGGGAGCAAACCAGATGATTTTTATAGTTTAGTTTGATGTCCGGAACTGTTAAGGAGGTGGAAAGAGGAAATGGAAAAGGGGAAAGGAAGGAAGGAAGGCTCGATCAATTGGGGAAATGAGTTATACTGAAGCTGGTTTGTGCTTTGCTGTAGGCGAGATAGACCCATATTCCGGTGGATCTATGACACCTACCATCCTTGAACATTCTCAGGATCGTCGCACTGGAGCGTGTCCACGTTGAAAACTGTTCCGATGGAACATCCGTAGGGTCTGGCTTGCCCCTCAATGCAAACGTAGAATTTTCGGCAGTCGGTGGGGTGAGCGTGACGAGTGAACACTCCGGGAGCATCGGCTTCAGAGGGGTCGGGGCACACGAAACCTTCGGCAACCTCTGCACGAGAGAGAATTATGAGGCGTGAGTGGGTCGCCAGGAATGAGAGTCGAGGGCCAATCATTCGATAGAGTCCATCGGATGTAGAAACTTGAAATTCCAGGATAGCAGAAACTTACCGCGTTGGTCACATCGATCGACCGTGTCGGCCCATACGCATACGCGCTGGTCGTTGTCGTAGGCGAGTCCAGGGGGGCACTCGTAGCGGGAAGATTCACCATTCCAGCACGAGTAGAAGACACGGCAGTTGTTGTTGTCGGGGAAGATTCCGTATAGGCGAGGACAGTGAGGAGTAGAGATCGGAGGCTCTGAGGAGTAGGAGGGAACCCGTCAGACTAGCTCGTTCACGGAATTACGGCTCGAGGGGGCGGTCCTGTTTTTTTTCTGAGCATCCCTGCCGAATTCCCGAAACTGTATCTACGACTCTTTTCGGGGGGAGATCTCCACAGGAGCCAAAAAAGAATTAGATAACGCTCGAGGCAAGTGATATGCACCGTCAGCGTCACGCTGGAGGTTTGTTTACGGTATGCTGTAATTAGTCATTGAATTGATCGCAGGAGTCGCCACCCACCAAGGTCGGTTCTGTCGCCACACTTTACAGAGAATGGGTAGGCGCAGTTCTCGCGGAGGGGGTCGGTATCATCGAAGACGAGACCGTTACCACACAGTTTCAGGGTAGCGGTTCCATTGCTGCAAGCGAAGTACTTATCGCACGACTTGGAATGTGGGAAAAAACCGAAATCATCTGCGCAATCGTAGTAGGCGTCTTGTTGGACCGGCGTTCCTTTGGTCGGTGCCCGCGCTCCCTGCTGGGCAGCAGCTGCAAAAGAAAAATAACGGTTAATCTTGAGCGACCAACCGATCGACCGGGCGCGGTTGCACCATTCGGGTGATTGGCAGCAACTGATACTGATAAGAGTGTTACGTAACGCTCTTGACATCGTCCGGAACTGGGCGTGGCCGGTGACAACGGTGGTCAACGGAACGAGCGCGCGTGTTTCCAGACAGGGGTCAAAATTAGCCGTCGAGCCGTTCGCGCAACCCTCGACGGATCGAATGGTCGTAGGGGAGCGTTGGCGTTTCGGAGCGACCTTGAGACCATTACCAAGGTCGACTTGGGATGATGCTCATTAAAAGTCATCGCTTATGGTTAACGTGACTTGTTTGGTCGTCTTATTTTTCATCGGAACGGCGGCGTCAGGATATGCGCGATCCGCGAATGAATCGAAGCGGACCGGTCACGAATCTCGATATCTTCACCTTCACGTCGACAACACAAGGCTCTGAACCCGGGTCGGCCAATCGAAATCAATTGCAGATAAGATAATAATGTCGAGTGGCCAAGGACACCGCCTGCTTTTGTGAATCATTCAATCGGTTACAAGGCCCCGCAGTGCAAAACACCGGTCACGTCCGTTGTTTTTCTGAAGATCCCATGCCTCCAAGTATTCAACGGTTATTTCATATTCCTGGGCGGTGCCGGCAATTATCGAAATGTAGACATTTTTCCTACGAGCCACCGTGATGTTCATGCCCATCTTCGCAGCGATATCGGATGCTCTTCGCTTAGCTCCCGCAATACTGAACGATTGTTGCATAACGAGGGTGTGTTCGCCAGGGAGTGCTTCCGAAAAGTGGCGTTCTCTTTTGGTGGGAATTCTCTCCCTCTCGCGGGAAACCATCGGAAAATGACTTCTCGATTCCGAGCGGAGCTCTGGAGGGGCAAGCTCCGGCCCTTTGAAATGATCCCCGCTTCGAGGCACCAGGTAGAGTATACGTTCGAGGGATGAGGGTCGAAAAGTATCCATTCAGTCAGACTTCACAGGAGCCGTAAGGTATCCGGCAGCGCTTCGCACATTTCCTGGTTGCCCAGGTTGATCATTGATCTCATGATTTCTGGATCGGGTCGGTTCGATCGTGAGACGTGTTTTCGGGACAGGCTCGGGTCGGATAATCTAATTGAACGAAGCGATCGAACTTACCACCAGCTACGCATATTACAGCGATAGCCAATCCTTTAAACATGGCTCGCTCGCGTTGGTCGGAATCACACAGAGCACACGAATCGAATAAAAGCACACAAACTGTCTGCGATCCGGGTCTCGCGGGCCTTTTAAGTGTTCACCACCCTCTCTTCCCTCCCCTGCTTCCATGCCGCGTGTGTCGGAGCTGCTCAACAACCAGCGAGCAGTTGTTGCTCCGGCGTCCATCTGATCCAGCTTCCCTTCAAATTCAAATTAAATTTTCACTTTCAGTTCTTGCTTCGGTCTCGCATTTCTAGACAGTCGCGCCGCTCGGACGATGATTCTGGGTGGTATTGAGCCCCGGCCCTCTGTCGAGCTGCGATGTGACAGACTCCTCTATTTTCTGCGTGATTCTCTGCGAGACTCTCGGTCCCTCATGTCTTCCTGCTGTTAGTCGGATTGAATCGGAATTCAAGTCGGAGTCCGATAGCCGAGAACCTGAGAAAACAAGGTAGATTCCGGGTGGAACAGATGTTCAAGCGAGCGCGAGAGCGACCCGGTGGGAGCGTTGGTCCACGAAGCGATCCTCATGATGATGTTCGGTTGCTTCTCACACCATCGCTTTAATCGCCATCAATGCTTACTTCTTCGAGCTCTATTCTACTGCGACAACATCTACACGTTTATCCAAACGAAGCAAGCAGACTGACACAGTCAGCGGAGCAGTCAGCGATTCAGACAATGCTTCTTTTTGAAAGTAAAAACTTTTCAAAGGGGCGGGAACGATTCGGAGGAGACTCGCCTTTTTCTTCATCCCCGGTTTTTCCATCGTTCTTTCGCAGCTCTTTGCTCATCACACTCACCAGCTCCCGATGTCATCCTCCCTTGAGGCGGAAGCTCCGATAAAAACGCATCTTTGCGTCTTTTCCCCCGTCAAATCCATCTGCCACGGCTCACGGCGGGCACCCGTTTCCTTCCCGAACGCCCATGCCTCCGTCTATCAGAGGAGCGATCTCGAATCTTACTAGAGACTCATACGATGCGATGGCCGAATCCCGAGCCGAGTCCCGAAGGAGCAGCTCGAGAAGACTCCACGGACTCTGTCCATGCTTTCTGGAAGGTGCTTTCGTCGGGGCTTCTAAACGCTCAGATCGGATCCTTCGGATCGTCAGAATTTCGCACGTGCCGGTCGGCAACCCAATTCTTATTTTACCCAAGTCTTATCTAACCAGAAGACCTCGGAATAGATTCTTCAAGGGGTCTCGTCAGGAATATCGATCGAGCCACGGCTCGATCCTGACAATGTCAGCATGCGCGCGTGTTCCGTGCTATCAGTCCTGCCTGGCCTAACGCCGGTACGGTATCGACCCGCACAAGTGTCCTCCCACGACGCCCCACACCTCGCAGGAGACTGGCTTCACACAGGACTCTCGTTTTCCATCTCTTTCGTATGGCCGGGGCTTGAGTCTCGCTCAGATGACGCCTGTGAAATGTAGTCCTAGGCGTGCGATGAATGGAGCGAAGATTCCATCTTCGCGCGAATATATGCTCTTCTTATCGAAGAGTCCCCGAGTTTCGTCACGCTGTGACGATGAATTCTCTGGTTCCTGTATCGAAGCCGACCTGGTTAGTGGAAGAATCCATAAACGGGTGAATTAAGGTGCGTATGGATGGGTGATGGACGGGTGCGTAGCGGTAATCTACATAGAAAGTCTTGTTCCATGGCCGCGCCGCAGTCAGAAGATGCTGACGCCGCCGACGACTCTGGTTACGTCACCGCAATATTTCAGGGCGGAAGCAGTATTAACGTCGACAGAACACTACGCCTGTTTTTCTCAGTAGAGGAACGCTTCGCGTTGAGCTGGGGGTTGTTTCTCATCGAGAAGACATGGATAATAATTATTATCCATGACTCCTCGATAAATTATAATTTATCCCCCTATAACCCTTTGGGAGAACGACTTCATGGAAACAAAACGTCCTACCACATCTCCACTTGAATCGAGTACGGTGAACGTGCAGGATTGGGAGATTTCTGACCGCATAGAGAAGCTGGAGATCACATTCTGACCCGCTTGCCGACGAATTCTGATAGATTTTTGACTAAGAGACTATGTGGTCTGGAATGATAAGAAGTTGAACCCAGGGGCTCCCTGAAACGGGTGATGACTACTGATTTTCGCCGTGCCGACTTCATTTTGACAGGCGTTGCTAGCCACGGCGAGAATCCTCGGGTGGGTTTCAAACACAAGGAGCTATGGTTTGCCTTTTCATCTGGATAGCTACAGCTGTCGTGCGAATCCACGTGAATGTTGTTCTCTAGAAGTTTTCTTCGACGGCAATGAAAGCGATAGCCATGAAGGAGGAGATGTACTTGCGATTAGGAGCGAGCACAAAGTCGAGCAACTATACGACGAGTAGACGCATGCCGTGGGACGAGCTTCCGAAGAGGTAATGTGAAATCACGGCATGGTCTCATGGAGCTGATCTGTGGTTGCCCGACTGACACATCCGGGGGAGGAGTGGGATTGGCGTCAAGGGGATCATTCAGCCGTGACCCCCAATCCCCTCAGTAGGAAATGGGCATCACTTAGCTGAGCTCACATGATCCAGAAAACTGTGGCGCGGCAATGAATGTGACTAAAGCGGTCCAATTGGAAGACTCAGGTCAAAGAAAAAAGAATAAGAGCCGCCCCACGAAGCGCCCGAGAAATACGTCGACTCCCTTGAAGTATTGCTGAATTATTGTTCATCTGTCGACCTGAGGTCGAAACCGGAGTCGCTCCCTCGCGTTCCCGATCAGCAATGCGGCGGTTTCCCTATTGCTCTTTACATTCGGCGCGAAGAAATTGAAAAATACATGCGGATCCCGATGGACGCATCCACGACTGTCTTCCCGCTAATTTTCCTGAAGCACCGATTCGCAAATAAAGTCCACTGACCGTCTCAGAATGTTGTTACATAATGAAAGCATCGCCGACGTCGTCTTCATCATGATCCGTCCGGAACAATCCCGTCGATAGCCCCAAAACTTTGCGTTGCATTCGCAGCACATCAAGTAGCGCAGCGTGGTACTTCGGATCGTGACCCTTGTCCCGGAAACAGCAATGAGTCGGTGAGTGAAAATCATTGATCTGAACAAGAAATATCGTTGTCTCAGCAGACGCACAAATATGGCCGCAACCGCTGAGGTAGCAGCAGAAGCGAAGGCTACAGCATACAGCCGATGTTGTTCAGGGGATGAATAAGTTTTTCGTGATTCGCTGGGGCCGTCAGATCGGATCAAAGAGGAGTTTCAATTATCGCTGCATCCATTCGATCGGATCCTCAGATCACTTAACGGGTGCCCACTAAGCAGTGTCTCAAAATGCAAAACCGGGAGCGGAGATTTCTTAGATCCCTTGAGCTTCCATCGCGGAATCCAGGCCGATCCTCTCTTGGCCCGTCATTGCCCCAAGTTTCCATATCCACTCCCGCGACTCATTTTTGCGAGAGCTATTCCGGGAGACGTGCTCTTGAAGATTTTTCTCGCCAAGGGGCTGTATCTGCCATAGCCAGCCGGCCGGCTAGCTGGGTGTCAATCATCATGACTTGGAGATAATCGGAGTCGAATTCTACCAGCGACTGATAGCTTTTCCATCATCAAACCATCTTGATAGTTTTATGGACTGGGCAGCTCAGCTCAAATGAAAGATTAACAGAGCCCGAGCTTAGCTGAAGACTGATCATGGACGGGAAGACAAAACTTGCCCCGTACTGGCAGAAAGTCTACAGCGGGAGCTGTCACAATTCAACCGGAAGAGAAAGGAGAAAGAGCTTAAACATGGCAAGGAAAGAACAGCTTGAAGTCGTGTCGTTGGAACGAGGCATTCAGAACCGATCCCGATTGTCGGCTCAAAGGTCTGCGAAAGGCGATGCCTGACTCCGGGATCGATACCGGCCCAAATCGACTGTATACTCAAAGGCGAAAGTTGAGCGATAATGGTCGTATGGAGGTTTTGCGCCAAAGCGCCAGAAATTGTGAGATTCTATCTTCATATGCTTCAAGGGAGGGGCATTCGCTCTCCCCCCCTACCCGGATAGAGATCGACGCTTTCCGGAGTCCAGATTGTGCGAGATCGGGAATAGCGATCGGCGAGGGTGGAGCAATGGGTGGGAGAAGAAAACACGTCGTTTGTTGTGGGATGATTCCAGACAGTGTAGCGATTTTTCGCTGGGTGTGACCTTTGAGGCGACTTCGCAGCTAGGGGCATCGAAAACTCAAGAATTTAGCGTCGGATTAATTCTAGTCAAGGTCGATGCCCGCACTTTCACCTCCTTGAGCACGACGATTTGCGGTGATTTTTCGCCGTAAAATTCAGCTCATTATCCGAGCCTCCGAAGGGTATCGGCGTGAACAACGGACACTGGGAGGCTGCCGCTCTTATTCTAGCTCAGGACTTCTCGCGTAATTTAAGATTCTATTTTCAGTATTATTCCAACCAGACGGTAGCTTTTCTATCAGCTTCTCCCCTCGTCTCGATCCCCGACCGCGGCTGCGCCCATCTCTTCAGGAAAAACACTGCCGATGGGTAGGGCTGTCAGAATTATTTTGCAATCGTTTCTCACTGATCCAGATAAATTCGGAAGGTGGATGCAAGGACTCTCGACCGCTAGCTCGTCGAGGGTTCATCCCTCCGGAGGTGAGCCCCAAAATGACGCGCATCCGATGGGAAAACCTGTGGAGAAATTCCCTTGAGATCCGACAGCAGCTCGATCCCTCGACCCCCAGCATCTGGGGAATTATATATCGGCTGTTCGGAGTTTCTGCTTGTTTTGGCTGCTCGTTTTTTGTCACGATCGGCGAGCATCGTTTTTGTACGACAGTTTTTCAAGAGAATTCCACCGATTTTCTTATCCCGATATTTTCTCAGCTCGGCAGTCGCAGCCAACCGGCTCACCGGCCGTCAGCACTGGTTCCTGTTTGGAAAGGTAGACGAGGAAGGCTCTTTTTCACAATAGATACTCAGCCGGAAGTGTCCGGCACAGCAGCCGCACCCGGCATCCTGCCGCCTATGCGTCCGCCCGCGCGCCGCGTGACCCTTGGCTCCAGCTCCATGACTTGAAACTTTGAACTAAGGGTGACTCGCTCGCTTTCTTTCAGGCGACTCTTGGCATCCGAGTGTATGATATGCGAACGTCTGTCTCGAGTTTGCCTCAATGTTATCTTGAACATTCGCTGAACTTCATGGCCCAGCCTGTCATCGCAGGTGATAATTACCCTCCATTCCATTCACGAAATCATCGTCCAGGAAGAAAGCGGCAAAAACAACGGAAAAAGCGAGGATCTGCTGTGATTTAGCGAGCAGAATAGCTCCAAAGACCTTTGTCACTACGACCGAACCTCTCGTATTCGGCCACTTATCCGGGTCATGCTGTCCAGAAGTTTCCGTGTCACAGACGATTCACTCTCGTTTCTGACCATTGTGTCCCCACTTCGGGAGTTCCGGGCAGGCTCAGGAGGCTCTGCGGCGAGAACAGTACTCAACTCTTCGATCGATGAGTGAATAAATGAAGTATGCATTTGTTTCTGGAGACTAGAAAACATTGAAAAATATTTTAGTACACAGAAACGCCTGAATCGAAGCGTTGACGAAGTATGTACCTACATCTGTCATTTCTCCCTGCTCTGTTCGTCGTTGCGAAACGCGTACTGTAATCGGTCATTGCGGGCTACTGACATCGGTGAACGGAGCGGTGCGCGCTTGCGTGATCTTCCGCGACGCTACTATTCTGTGACATGATTTACTGTAATAATGATACACTGCCTCGATTGCTAGAGGTTCGAGTTGGTCAAAACAGCCTTGAGAATTCTTCTGGATCTCGCTACTGGGTGTCGGCGTCGCAATGACTCGTCCATTTAAGCGTGATCAGCAATCGACGGTATCTCAACAAGAGTCGCGCAACCAGGGAGGAAGAGCTGATGGCCACTCGATCGAGTTCGGAGAATCCAATGTACAATTTTCGATCTCGAACGCCCTCCGAAGAAGCCTGATATTTGAAGAACGCTTGCGCGTCTTCTTAATTTTGATCCAGCTCATTCTTTTTACGAGCTTTTTGGCAAGGCACGATGGGCGGAAGTCGTCGTAAACGACAACAGTATTCGATACGGCCACAAAAAAAAGACGATGAAATTCAGTCAGGCGTGGCAGTGAGTCGAAGAATGCGACATTTGCCGCTCCGATGAAAACGGGATGAATGGCTTTCCGGAACTTTTTTGAGGGCTGATCAAAATTTGCGCCACCGGAGGAAGATCGGTGGACACAGTACGAATGAGCTTAATAAGGCCGGAACTCTGTATACTTCACGGGGTTGAGATCCATTAGATTCATTAAATATCAACGGAGTGATGAGAGACTTCTCTGGGCGATGCTGGGCGCTACACTGTTCGACGTAATGCTTCCGGGTCGGGTTCCAATAGGAAATAGAGACATTACTGTTTTGTGGGAGAGCTGTGGCTCCTCGCGGAGATAGGGAATCAGCTCGGGATATAGAATCGAAAATTAGAAAAAGTCATCAGACATTCCGCCTTAACCCCACCACCTCCAAGAGGAAGTTCGTCGAGGGGTGGCGACCTTCCTTGTATCAATATCCTGGCGGAATCGTGATTTCCCCAAATCCGGGAGGCTATGGCCGTCCTCGGTGAGAGCCGTTTTGTATAAATTGCATCCATGAATGAGGTCAAAGGGGTCCGAATCGTCACATACCCATTTTGAAAAACTCGAGGACCACTTGGCAGAATTCTCCGATCCTTCTGATGATCAGAGTTGAATAATGATCACGTCGAACTATAATAGAGGAGGGGAAGCCGTGGCGCAGGGTTCGTATCAGGAGCGGAGAAACGCTATTATGAACAAAGACTATTCGTTGACGCTAGTTTGGGGTGGAGACGACAACCCGTTGTTTACCTCCCATAAGTTACATTAGGAGAGTTATAAAGCGTTCAAAGCATGCACCCGATGATCTTCTGATGTGGTTCGCATCTACATACCTATAAATTATTTCGTTTAGGGTGCGATACAATCAAGTTTCTACTGTTCTTTGAAGTTGAAGGATACCAGCCGAAGATGATGGGTCCCCTCCTTCAGTGCTTAGCTTGGTTCCAGTCATCCCAGCGGTCGCTTATCGGGAAGTGATCAATGAGTCTTCCTCTTCGTGACGGTCGCTCCGAGCGCACTGCGTGCACAGTAGTAGCCGCCTGCCGCATTTGTACAAGCGACTCACTCACTCGGAGCGAGAAGAAAGCGTAACCTGGATTCCCAAATCATCCGTTTGCCGTTCCATGAATTGACCCCTTCGAGCGAGGAAACTTATTCAAATCTAGATATCGCAGCCGGTGGAAATCCTCTTCCTCTCGCGAGAACTTTTCGCATTACCCTTCAAACGCAGAGCGATGCATCCCCGCTCCGACCCGGGATGAGTGAAGAAGATTTATCCTAAAGTAGATGCGGAGGAGTTTGGGGTCGCTAAATATGGACATCCGATGTAAGAATCATCCGGAGCGCCGTGATTTGACTTTTTCGTGCGGAGATTGGCCCTCGGGAATCAGGAAGCGGAGGGCGCGAGAAATATTCTCCTGACATGAGTCGTCGAATAGCGATAAGAGCCATTCCCTAGCCCGGAGAGGCTCAGAACCGCCGTGTAAGGACGGCTTATGCTTCGACGGGTTGCCCTTCGGCATCTTGTCCTATACCATCCATTTATCTATTACCACTCGATGAGGAGGAAAAAAAGAGGAAGAAGACGAACAACAGGAAAGAATGAATATCCTTTTCATGAGCCGCGCGATAACAGCTTCCCAGGCAATTCGCGCGCACAGAGAGTGCAGCGGGACGGTTGCACGGCTCCGGATAAATAGCCGGCAAACAGTCAAGCTAACAAACACTCACTCGCAGACTTCTATATCCGCAAGGGACTACAATGCAGAACTTTGGCCGCAGCAGAGCCGTTCGGCCCCAACCACCTGTGAAACGGGTCGTAAGTAAAAAATAGCAATGCTCGCTCGCTCGTTTTCATTCTTCTGGCTGGCTTATTGGATCCTTACCCGACAGCGATGCTCGTGCGGCTCGCTCCCGATTCACCATTGCCACCGGTAGTAGTAGCGGCCGGTCGGGAAGTCCTCAACCGCACAACGAAGTATCAGATGCGAAATCTACCGGCCCCAACCAACTCCCAAGCACGCCTCGGGCCGGGCACACGACGATGACCTTTCATTTCGCTGCTCCGGAAAGTCAACCAGCCGAGCCATTGGGTGGTCAGAGGAAGCATCTCCGGCGACTCGATTCAAAAGTGTTCCGATTTATTGTCATGTAAATTTCTTCGCTCGATTATCGCAAAGCATCGAGGATCCTCCCGATTCCGGGGAAAAATCAATCCACGTGGTGGGTACCCCGATGTCCCAGCCCCGCAGTCGTGGTATGATCTTATGATGGTGTACATGACCGTAAGTTGGTACTCTACCCTCGATCGCTCTCTCGGTCCTCAGGCTCCCAAGCGTCAGCTTCGGATTGAAAGCCGACTAGACTGTTTCGACGTAGTTTGCGGGCAGCATTCCTCGCTGGCCGTTACGGAGCACGGTGCCAATCATCCAACCGCCCTCAATCGGATCGCCGTTAACGATCACATCGCCTTCACAAAATGTGACTTCGTCGATGTCTCCCGCCATGTAGTCGTACAGAGCTATGTAGCATAGGCCTGCAACAGGGAAAGTCTTCGGATTAACGCATATAAGCTCCTGAGGTTGAATAGCCGATCACTCGGCTTTCTCAGAGGATTCTCCTCAGAAAGAATTTCGCTCCCTATCGAGCTATTTCTGCTTGAATGTGCTTTCAGCGGGTCTCGGGATGACACTATAATTCCGTAAGGATCCGACTGTCATATGAATTATTCAGGGGTTCGGCATTCACTGCCGCGGCGGGTATCAGCAATCTCGACTAATTGGATTATTGAAAGCCCCGGCTGTCGGTGCGGAGCGAAAACCCACAGAGTCGATTCCGATGCGGAATTCTCGATGGAGCTTGCAACTTCGAGCCGAATCCACGGGTCGTCCTGAGCGTCTGTGCGTATGTTGTCGAAATAAGAAAGAGAGGGGAGAATTTTCTTGGCGGATGCAGAACTCGAACTTCAAATATCCGGATACACCGGTCGTGAATATTCTGATTGCAGAGCAGTCTCGAAGATGCGAGCAGTTTCTAATTGAAGAGCAGGCTTTTGAGGCTTGACGCGTGTGAAAGGGCAGCCTCTGATAAACGCGTGCCTTCTAAAGCTTGAAATCAGGTATGCATGTCCGAAAGAGTGAGAAAGATTCTCGGAGAGGGCTCGAATAGGCGATTCCGTTAGGCCCTGGATAGATCCCGCGGTGATAGCTCAAAAGAGAGCTCGTTCTGTCCTGATCTCGGGGAATGGAAAAACAGATGGGTAGCCCTCTAACATACGAGCATTCACTATGAACGGGCGGGTTTTGGAGTGTCAAAAGATAGGCGAGCATCCTAATTTCCTCGGACATTGGGAACCCCTAATCCCGATGTAGCGAGAAACCGAATGTGGCTAAGAATAAAGGACTAGAATTTGCGTTTCCCTCACACTCATTACGGAGTTTTGCTGAGTCTCGGTGGGGCTAGAAATCCCTTCGCCAGTTCTCCGGAATAGCCCGTACGTCGCTTGTGCGTGACTGTGTCTCAACTGCGATCATCGACTTCCCCGTATTTTGTGAGTGCACTTGCGAGAAGCAGTTATGAGAAGCTGACCACCGTCGGTCGATAGCTGTGATCTCTCCACAAGCGTGACATCTCTCCACAACATTTAGTCTGTACATACACATCAGGGATGTTTCATGTTCCATAGGACCGGTAAACGATTCGCCGTTTGATTTGACTTGCTCTTTGCACGGCGCGCAGCTTTGGGCAGAGGAGAAGCCCCTCGGAAGTACCTCAAGTAGTACTCGGAACTTGCGCTCGCTACAAGGTTACACCCACCGTGTTGAGGCGACGGCCGAAACTTCGTTGCTGAGATGGACTGTTGCGGACTCTCGCGTGTCTGCTGTTGCTGATGCTGTTGAGATGATTGCCTCTGGTAGTATGCATGTGGATTTTGCTGTTGTTGCTGGAGGCGCTGCTGCTGGAGGAGTTGCTCCTGTTGTCTCTGCTGCTGGAGGAGTTGCTCCTGTTGTCTCTGCTGCTGGAGGAGTTGCTCTTGTTGTCTCTGCTGCTGGAGGAGTTGCTCCTGTTGTCTCTGCTGCTGGAGGAGTTGCTCTTGTTGTCTCTGATGATCGAACAGCTGTTCTCTCTGTCGCTGTTGCTGCTGTTGGTGTTGTTGCTGTTGCTGCTGCTCTCGCTGTCGCTGTTGCCGAAGGAGTTGGTCGTGTTGTTGCTGCTGCTGTTGGTAGGAATAATTCTGGTGTTGAGGTCTCTGCTGAAATGCTGTCGAGCTGAAGGTCGGCTGAGAGAAAGTCTGATCTATCGACGGTTGGCTCGTCTGGACCGCAGGGCTTAGGGGCTTCTGTTGTTGGGGACGGGGCGAGCTCCGCTGCTGAACCGATTGAGAGGCCTCTTGTTCCAGTTTCTGCGATGGATCTTGTGAGTTGCCGAAACCAAAAGATTGCGGAGGAGCGTTCCGTTTCAAAGCGTTCAGCGCAGCTGCGAACTGACTCTGGCCAGGTTTCGGCATGGAGTCGTCCTCGAAGGGGAGCTGAGAAGCTTGAGCGTCTTGCATATTATTTTGCGAGGATTGCCGTTGCATTGGCGCACGCGAGGGGGACTCGTTGAAGGATTGGTACTGAGGTGAAACTTGCGAGGGTTGATACTGAGGAGCGTATCCATTCTGCTGAGGTTGCTGCTGTTGGCTGAGGTTTCTTGAGGGAGCTTTGCAAGACTTCGTCCGGCGCAGCGTGTCCATCGGACTGTATATTTCATAATCGCCCAGAGAACCTGAAAGTCCGGAACAAAAACAGTCAGTATATTTCCTTGACCAACATCCTATGTGTCGATTCTGGACACGCTCCTCGATTCGAGCGTGGAATGTAGCGAACTCAGACGTCTGCCCTGAAACTCACTTGCGTTGAATTTCGGTCCGAAAGAGAGGACACTGTCGTCGGTCTGGTACTTCGGAATCGACGGCGTATTTTGTTTTCCATATAGATCGTAGAGCTTCAGACCGCCACGACCACTGAGGGGCTCGTAGAAACTCTCAACGTTTTCTGACGGGGCTGTGCGGAATTTCTCCGAGTCGCCGAAGGGATCCGATAGGCTCAGGATGCTGGAAGGCAAAAACGGAGAAGCTTGGTTTTAGTGTTTCTCTGGGACATTCATACCTCCCGGTGCCTCCTCCATATTCCAGCCACGAATGAGTAAACATATATTTATATGCCATTTTTTGCGCCTACTCCATTCTACGTATTTCACAAGGTTCCGGTGGACACTTCGAAGCCGATCGAGCTATTCAATTGTGAGCGAGAATCATCCGGAGCTCAAATCTCAGCTTGCCGAATCATCACGACGGTGAGCCACGAGATGACGCATCTCGAGCTCGATCGTGAAACTGCTGACTCTCTTGAGACCAACGCGATCGGCCGACGCAGCGACCGAAGGGTGGAAGCCCTAAGAAATAAACATGCTTCTCGACTAGCACAGACACCAAACTTTTGTATTCAAAGCTCACCTATTGTCGAGCTGCTTCCGGAAGTCTTGATCGTTCGTCAGCTGTAAACGGAAGGTCTTGTATTTTCCCAATGGTATGTGCTCATCGCTAGGCGATGGAGGGAGAAAGTTTCTGGTGATGAATAAAGGACCACTAAGTCAATTATTGACGTTCGTTTCGACTTACTGAGTTTGAGACTCGTCCCTTCGACTTCTCGTAATCTTCATGATACCTGATGTTACTTTGCAATTTAGTGTTCTCAGCCAGCCGCCTCGCTTCCGGCGTGTCAAGAACGGTGGTATACGTGGCGTGGGGTACGTGACTGTTGAGTGAAAATTCGTGGAAGTAAAGAAGTCAGAGCGAGGGAGTAACAACTCCTTCCTATTTCGGAGAAGCCTTGTGACTCAAACTGGTTGAGCCGTGAAAGTGTGACCACACCTGTTGTCACTTGCCAAGATGGGCTCTCCCCTTTACGATTGTGCTGCGCTAGACATGCATTTTCTCAAATCACGGAACACGAAAAAAAACATCGCGAAATCGGGAATGAACCCATTCGGGCTGAAAGGTGCCCATCGACAGGCGATTGAAGGCTACCACTATCACTTCGGGAGCTGAAAGAGGTCCTATAGAGGATTCAGTGCGAACGAGAAAATCAGTGCCGTCGCCTCGATCGGAGACTCACGCGTTACAGTAGGGCAGTCTGTTCAGGCCTTTATAGGTGTTCATGCTCAAGACCATACCGCACTCTTGGCACTTGAAGCACTGCTTGTGCCAAATCTGGAATGAGCGGAAAGCAGAATTGAAAGTTTGGGACCGAGACCGCGCCGCCGGCAGAATGTAGGGAGTCGAAGCGCCTCTTGCAAGGTTGTCGCCCATCGCCCCAGCGTAGCGTATCGGGTTCCTGGACGGGCTTCAGCGAGCTCAGGCCCCGCGAGAGAAACAGGAAACTTACCTTGTCGAGACATTTGAGCTCCTCGATCGGATAGACTGTCTTTTGACATCGAGCGCACTTTTTATTAGCCATCCTGGCCTGAAAGATCCCGGGACCTGTACTTGGAGTCCGGACTCAAGCCTTTCGCCAGCGACCACCAGCCGGATCAGAGCAACCCGACCACTGACTAATTCCTTATTGGAACAGGGAAGAGGAAAGCATCTTCCGCTAGCCTACTTGCTGAACGCTAGAAATAGCGTTCTCAGCGAGCGCGCTACTCTTACCCGTTGAGCCCGGCGCGGTTCGAGAGAGTTTCTGGACTAGGGTCCACCCTGCGGAGCTCTAGAAGAGTTTCTAGTAGCTTCTCGGCGCCTGGCTCTGCCGATCGGTGGTCTGCTAGAGATGGCTCCGCGCGCCTCGCAAAAACGACTTCTTTGTCCATAGAATTCGGTAGTACCGTATTTGGGTACTTAGCGATAATAATGAATCGTTGTGGTTTGTCGTTGGCAGAGTGCAATGACATCGACGCCAATCTCGTGGCTCGATTTTGAGCTCGACCAGGCCCCCAATGTCGATTTAAATTTCTAACTCCGGTCTGAGAACTCCCGACCAGATTCTGAGGTAATCGTTCCGACCGTCGGATGACTTGAAGCCGTGAGAGCTAGACGAGGAGCTCCACAGCCAGGAGTTCGATGAGAGCAAAACTCCCTCACGAGATAAATCGCGATCTTGACGAGCCGATTGTATTAGGTGGCGTGCGTAAGTACTTGGAACCGCGTCGAGAAGTGATTTGTCAATCTTCGAGTCCGGGAAGTTTTGCTCCAGATCGGATCGACCCCGTGAAATGTGCCGTGCTCCCCTGGGAGATAAACGCAAACCGACTCCAGAGCTTCCGGCAGCTCACTGGTAAGAAGTTGGGATTCCCGAAAGTTTGCTGAGAAACCAGGGATTAGTAACAAAGTTACCCGAAGCCTTTAAGCTTTCGGAATGCGCTACATGGGTCGACTACGCGGTCGGCGGCATCTTTGACTATTCTGAGCCGCGCTAGTGAATGATCCGGTATCCTTCAGCTGGTTCCATGAGGTTTTCGGAGCGCAAGCTGCTCTTGCACGCATGCAAAGCTCTATCGAGGATAAGCCGATTCCCGAATATTCTAACAATAAGCTGGCCTGACTGAATCCGTCTCAAGAGTGAATCTCATTGAATAATAGGTAGAGCAAGGACGTCGGTACGGCGCGGCGCACGGCCCGAGCCCGAGCTCGATGGAACGAATCATTCACCGACGCTCGCCTGGAAGTCGATGTGCTCCCAAAGAGCTGCGGAGCGCTCAGCATAGGGTATTGTTGATTGGAATAGCCAAACTTCTGCTATTTGTAAATTCTGATCAATTCGTGTCATTGAAATAGCCAAACTTCTGCTACTTGCCGATTTTCATCCATTCGTGTCGTTCTCTCTTTTCCACCATACCAAGAACGAAGGGAGCATGGGGCTCCGCGAGCACAGGGTTGCTTTTTGTACAGTGAGGCTAGCGAACTCCAGTCGGCTTCAAGATCTCAATCTACTTCATAGATGATCCTTCTTCCTGGAAATATGTATTTTATCAGAAACAAATCATGCGGCAGCTGTGCTGGACAAAAGAGACGAGTTAGCGAATGGATGTAGCCGCTGGAAATGAGACTGGAATGCATTGAATTCGGCTCAGTGAGCATTTCCGTCGGAACTCCAATAACGCGGCCAGATGTAGCTGATAGTCGCTCGAGCGAGCAACCTATCGTTCATCTCGGACATATCCTCTCCGATCCGTGGCAGAATTCTAAGACTAATGGACATCATACGGAGCAAGCTTTGCGCGGGGCACGCGAGCTTTGTTTCACTTGACATCAAAGGAATGATATCCGGCTCTTACTCACATCAGAAGCATCAGCTGTTCATTCCGCCTTCCTCCTCGAATGGATACCGGAGCCCTTCGAGCAATATATCTTCTGATCGCGAGTCAGCGGAAGAGAACCCTTCAACGAGAATCGTCATGGAAGCACCTCCGCGTTTTTCGGAAGGTATCGCCTAATAAGGAGGAAGACAGTTACAAACGCTTCACTCCGATCGAGGACTCCCCCGTTCTCATGAAAGATTCTCCTTACTCATCGTATCCGGAGGTATTTGTATGGTATCCCGAATAGAGGGCACGATGTTGATGGGCTAACTCCGTCGGAACTTATTTCAGTACTTGTCAGCCGACTGTGGAGCTCGGAAGAGAATCGAAGGCAAAAAATTCATTCCGAGGCGGGAACGTTTTTCTGCGGGGCAAGAGAAGTCTTCGATGGAGCTGACGCAGCTCTCTCTGGCCTCCTTCACCGAACGAGTTGCAAACGCCATCGACGGCGGTAGCGTTGACGGTCGCGAACATAATTCGATAAAGCCCTTTTGTGTACTGAATGTATCCGTCCGAATGTTCCCGTCGGAAGCCTCACTACGACAGCCAAGTTGGCTCTTGTCGCTCGTTGGGTGTGGTTTGCCACGGAAGACTAGCTGAGCGGCAAAGCGAGTGCGGGCGGCATACAAGTCCTCGCGAGTTTTTTTTCGGCCGCATCTCCCAGCTGGACGCGGAGGGATGAAAAGCCCGACTTGTGTTGGATAGTGGCGATAGCATCGGGGAGTGGCGTGCCAAGCTCGAATCTTATGTCAGTCCGGGAATCGACTCCGGCGAAACTTTCGGAGTGTTCTCCGAGAAGAAGAATTACGGTCTTTGACGTCTACACTAGCAAAGTTGCAAGGAAAGAGTAAACTAGAACCCCGGCATGATCACCGATTACCTAAGCCTGTGATTAAAGTGTTACGCGGGTGAGCCCGGCTCTGTTGCTCGTTATTCTGCTGAAAAGAGTCGAATTTCAGCCTCCATGATTCGTGGATGGGATCATGGCGGCTCAAGCGCTCCAATCAAACGGGATTAAACGCTCCAATTAGAGTTCACATCATCGTTCGCATCCTACGAGTTGAGGATATAATATGCGGTCGCCGGTTGACTCGAATTGGATCACTCATCGGAATCGCCGCGATACTCCCGCTGCCTTCAGGTCCCTGATTAAACCGTCTCAGTGAACGCTTCCCGAATCGAAAATTCCGATTCCTCCATCGTCTCCGATCGTCTCTTAACTATTCAACCCTGCTCTTTAGAGCAGTGGTTCCCAACCGGGGTTCCGTGGGAAGATTTTCGGGGCCTCGTGGCGGGTTTTTGCTGGGAACCCCGGGGTTCCGCGAAGAGATTTCTGGGGTTTCGCGCGAGATTCTCTCGGTTCCACTGAGGACTATCGAATCCGAGTATCATGTTTAATAAATTACCCCTACGGGCTCTGCGATTCTCGGCAGCTGCCGCTCGACCGAGGTAAACGAGGGCCGCGGTCGGAGAGGGCGATTCGACCGCGAAGAACGCGGGGAAGGATGGAAAATGACTGAGGCGTTCCGCGGGGCAAATAAAGTTGGGAACCCCTGCTATAAAGCACGGTCATCGCTCGAGAGTCGATAGGCGACTCGATAAATGCCTCCGGCGAGTTGATACCAAGCGGCGAAATTTCGGCACCGTCCTCAGGTCCTGGAGTTTCGCAGAGCAGGCCATCGCGGAATCACAGCAAATAATTCTCGAGCTGGATGTGCGTCAATCTCCCTCCGCTTCTACGTTGAGACTCTCATGAGATAACCCGTAAGATTCACGATCATATCTTGCGCGATTCCTCGGATATTGAGTTCTTGCGAATGAGCAGCCGTGATTGACAGATATCCCTCTTCTGGACTGGCCCTTTTTCGCTCAACGAATTCGGCATCGATCAGCCGTCCATCAGTGTAGCAAATGTCACCATCTGTCAGGGATTTCCGCGATAACTCTCTATCAGCGGTTCTCGAAAGGACGTTAGTGAAGTCGAAGCGAGGTTCCCGTGCTCTTGGAAGGGAAGTCGGACTCTCAACTTTTTCGCAGTCTTCTCGGGAAAATCCTCTCACAGATGTCTGTCGGGGAGTCCGGTCGGAGACTCGAAAATATGCTTGCAGATAAGCTGACCTTTCAAATGCCAAGGTCAAGTGATCTTCCCCATCGTACAAAAACTCGTCTCCGATCTAATCTAGAGCACAGATTTAGTGAGCCGAATCCTCGAAGTTGATTCTCTTTTTGGCTCGGGAGAAAGTCAGATGTCAGAAGGAGGGCTCCCTGCCGAAAGATTCTCTTTAGGAGTCTCGATTGTTCTCCCCTCGGAGCGGTGCGTAATTCGTTGGTGCGGTTTTCGATTGCTTTTCACCCTCCGAGATGTCCGTCCATTCCCTGACCGTAGTCCGGCACAGAGGTGTACGGTCTTCTAGAGGAAATTGAGATACCATCAATTTCTCGTGAGATCAGGGCTACGGGACATGCAAGAATATTCGGGACGATTTCCAAGGATGCGCCGACTTCACAGGAAGGGGTCAACCGACGTCAAAAAAATGGAACGCTGACGAAACAATTATTTTCCGGATTCCCAGAATGTGCTAAGGCGCTCAATTCGAGCGGTCCTGTCTTGACGCAGGGATGAAAAATGGAGAAAAGCTGAGTGGAAGCCAACGTCACTGGGGGTTCCATCCCTCGTTCTCCTTCCAGGTCGTCGCCATATGTCGCCGAAGTAAACTCAGATAGATCCAGAAACCCGTTTGGGGCTTTGAAGAAAGGCAAAATCGATCATTCCTTTTGTTCGAAGGCTCGGCGAGCGACGTTCCAAATGAAGAGGGAACGCCGCCGCGTTATCGCAAGAGGCACCGTTGGGTGCATTTGAATCAGAAATATCGAGCATCCCTAACGGAACTCCGACTGGTCTGCAGCGCGGCGTGTCGTCGGCACGGGGCTCTGAATAGTGAATATCTTCAAGAAGAGAAACAGAAACTCTTGCATTCGGAAGTTGCATCAAGGGAAACTTTTCCGCTCTTGTGGGAAGTCGCAATAAGTCTCAAAATACACGCAGGCGTGGAATAAACGACAAAAGGGAAAGTTTTCCGTGCGTTTTTTGCCCAGTCTCCTAGCTCTCAATCCCTCGGCCAGCTCATGTTTCGAAGTTCACCGGTGATCCCGCGGCAATCGGCGGGCTGGACTCATTCATGGCTATCGACGACCCTTCATGGCTATCGGCGATGCGAGAGCTCTAGGAGAACTCATTCGAATTCTCAAAGAATCTGAAACCTAATTTTGAGAGC